CCTGCCTTCCCCAGGCCGGTTCGAGGGGGAGCTCTCGGGGGCATGGTCATGGCCCGAGCCTCGCTCCCCAGCACTGACCTGCAAGAGCAAACAAAGATGGCAGATTAGAATTGAGCCCGTGGACCTTCATATGATTCAGCTCACTCACTGTTGATTTTTTTCTAAGCGTACTACACAGACTACAGGTCAGCGTGAGTGAAATACTGTGGAATGGTTATTTCAGAAGCTTAAAAATAAACATCTCCAAGAGAGTACATAGCTTTTGGAAGTACAATAATATGTCGCTGTCGCTGTATTTGGACTTAAATTAAATTTCAACAGGTTGGGTGGAAAGTTGGTTAACCTTGGACACATCAGGTTTTATTTACTGGGTGGAAGAAAAATGCCCTCCAGTTGTTTGTCGGCCTTGATCACATCTCTGTCTCCTAGAAGAAACTGTAATTAGTTCCAGTTGTTTTCGATGGAAAGTATTGACCTACCGGCCTGTCCAGGAGGTTGGTGGAGAGGGTGTAGTTTGGAAATGTAATAAAAATGAAACCGTGTGGGGAGGCAGCTTTTTTTTGCTGTGCCACAAGGTGCTCTTTCAGTGACCTTAGTATAGCGCCTTGTCAGGAGTCGTCCTGCGTTCACCTGTGAGCAGTTTACAAAACCCGCGTTTATTTAACGGCAATAGTACGTGCCTTCTGCCGTGATTAGTTTATTTTTTAGTCCCCCCCACCCCCCCATTTATCGTTTGGTAGTTACGTACATTGCTATTACTTCTGAATGGAGTTCCTATTGAAAGTTAGGACTTTTTTTTGGAATGAAGACTGAAACTCGAACCCGAGGGTACTAGAGAAAACTATTTGGAAGTGCAATTAAAACCAAGAGCAGACGGACCTCCTTCAGCCAGAGTCTTGGGAGTCTGAAACAAGTTGCCCAGCAGTGCAGTTCAAGCTGATAACCTGGTTTCTTTCAAGAAACGGCTGCATGAGATCCTTGGATCAGTTAACTGCTGGCTACCAAAACAGGCTGGACGAGCAGAATGACCTCTGGGGCGGAGCAGTGGATCTGGGGCTCAGGATCTGCGCCTGTGGCTGGAAGGCTGCTGGTTCAAATCTTGCGGTCGGCAGAGGAATCCTACTCTGTTGGACCCCTGAGCAAGGCCCTTAACCCCAACTGCTCCAAGGGGGCTGTATAAATGGCTGACCCTGCGCTCTGACCCCCAGCTTCTCTCCCTGTCTGTGTGTCTCATGGAGAGCAAGCTGGGGTCTGCGAAAAGACAAATTCCAAATGCAAGAAATTGTATATGGCCAATAAAGTGATCTTATCTCTTGGTGAGCAAGGCAAGCTGTCTGAACAGTTCCCCTGCTGTCTGGCTCTGGAGTCCACACATGGGCCTCTAGAGCTGTGTGTGGGTGTTGATCACACAGACATTCCCCCTTCATCCCGAGTTTCTTTGGGGGAAGGGCCCTGTGGCCCTTGTCCATATGTCCAGATATCAGTAAGGACTGTTCTTGCAACCTCGTTGCTGGGGGTTGTCTGTTTCGTCTGCACCCTAATCATATCCCTAAATTCTTGGTGTATCACCGTAACACCAGTTCTAGTGTTCAACTTTGTATTTCAAATTAATCATAAAGGCACTTGCCTCATTTTGTTTCCCAGTTATCTTTTAACTTTTTTTTTGTTTTGAGTGTTTGTTATGATAAGATTTGTTTTGCAAGTGTTCTGTTGCCTGTGAAGCCAGTTTAAATTTAATTAAAATGGTTAAATGGCAAAATTCTCCAAATGGAAAAGATTACTAGCACATATATCTGATGAATATCACAGGTACAGGTAGTACTGGATTGACTTTGGAGATGCATTCGTCAAAAATGCTACGTCACAAGTTTAATTTTTAATTTTTGTGTTTTTGAATGAAGTGCTGTTAAAGGCAGCTAAAAACCATGTATAATTACGAAATTAATTTGGTCTCTTCCTGTTGCTAATCTTCCTTCCCCTTCTAATCCTGTAGAAGATGTCTGTTCTGCTCGATGCTTTCCTTGTCTTTTCTGATCGTTCAGATAAGGTTAGTGGGCTTATCAGTGCGTTTATATACAATATAGATGACATATAACTGAATAATGGTCCCAAATCAAGTTAATCTGCCGGGAATGTTTGCTGTTGACAGTTGGGCTCTGTGGATGCCATTGCATCATCTTCTATAGGGCTGTTCGCAAACAGATTAATTGCACTCTCTCCAGCCAGAAGCTTAGAGCTCTAACATTGCTGCTCTCTTAACAATGTCTTTTTCAGCTCATGTCCTGTGGGATGTTTTGCCAGACGTGAATTAAAAGACAGTCATTTCTTAATGCACTACGACATTAACTAAAAGGGGAGTTCCTGAGCAAACAAATAAAAAGTGGCCACATGGCTACTGTTAGGCAAGGTAGTCTTTGATTCTGTAATATACTGTAAACTAGACAGTAGGTGCATCATTGTAAAGCCACGACATTGCAGTGCTTGAAGGCTTATAAGCACATGTATCAGCAGATATAGAAAGTCGTTTCCCCTTTTGAACGGAACAGCACTCTTAACTGAGGAATGTGGTCAGTAGGATAAGGATAAACACCACGCTGAAGGGGACTTTGCAAGTGTACGTGGAGGTAAAATGCACTGATTCAGGTACCTGAGTTGATTCTGAAATGTGGGGCTCTTAATACGGTTTGGTTTTGACAGAAGTATGTTAATGAGCGCATTTTTAAAATCATTTATCTAGAATGTTTATTTTTTAGGATCAAATGACCTTTTGGTTAATATTTCAGTTGTTACTGGACCACCTGGTAGAGACAAAAAAAAAATCCTTTCTGTCTTTGGCAGAACTGTTTGGTGATTCAGATTCTTCTGTGGTGTATGGGATCTGTGTCTGTGTGCTTCTGAAAAATAACATGAATGGGTGATGTCTGATACAAGCAGACAGTCCTTTTATAATCAGTGTCATATTTTGCACATCATGCGTCATTTTCCGGAAGTGTATTTTGCTGAGTGATTCTGTTGCTCAGGTACTAAAAGTTACCTGTGAATATCCTGTGACAACTACAAGTCATGCTCAGTATAAGCCTGGCAGGAAGACGTTTGCGTCGGCTACAGCACCACATCCGTCATTTAATCTGTCCGTCGAGCAGTGGTTCTAATGGCAGAGATGTCTTCGCAATATAATAGAGTATTAAAAAGTCCAATTATTTATAGGAAGCTTAATGTCTAATTATAGATAGCACCTAATCTCAACACTGTAACATTTAGAATTCCCTTGAGCTTTTTTTCTTATTTTATCAGCTGTGTATTTTTTGCAGAAAAAGGGAAACGCGTTTGAGTTTCTGCTAATTTCCAGCAGCACTTTTTCCACTAATGTAACCGTTTGTAGTGATTCTGAGGCCCATTGTCTTGTTCCAGTTTTTAAAAGCCTTTTGCTGCCCAAGTGCCTGAAGGGCTGTGCAGGCCGTGCCATTAGCAGGGAGAAGTCCGTGCCTCTGGAGCTGCATCAGCCTCATAGGACAACAGTCGGCCCTTGTTTAGAAACCACCTGACAAACATGAGAGAGACGCACAGCGTGCTCCCGGGAGCTACAGAACAGTGCTTCCGGTTTGTAATAGGAGGTTTACTGAAATATTATCTCGATGAAACACCTGTAGGAGCTTGACTGCTTTCTTCTTTATAGTTGTGTAATATCATGCTGATCTCTGTTTCCTGATGTACCGTTTGTCTGAAATTGAATTAACCATGATTTTACTACTAAAACGGACAATGTGGGCTATAAATACAGGACAGGCTTCTTTACACACAGTGTTGTACATGTCTTGAACAGAGTTCCTGGTCAAGTGGCAGAGGACCAAACTCTGCGTTCATTCCAGAAATAGCTGGACAAAGTTTAACACTCCGCTACTAAGCCGCCACATGGGCAAAATGGGATGTATATCTTGTTTTTATCTGCAATCTTTGTAATGCTTATATATCTTTTTTCTATTTCTGTCTTAGAAAAGTGAACTTAAAACTGCTGTTTTTTTGCTTTTTCTAGAACAAGTGGATTAATCTTAATGGTGTTTTGCTTGCTATCTTGCTGTAAGCATTTGAAAGCATTAATTGCGACAGCTTGAAATAATGTGATACAACATGACACTTAACTTCTACCTGATCTCATGCAAGAACTGGTAATTGGCTCAAATGCTTGTTTGGAAAGGCATTTGTGCATAGATAAGTACGATCATCACAATGGCTAAAACACCTGCTGTTGTTTTATGTGTTTTAGGGTTTGTTTGTGGCACTAAGTCAGGTCAAGTACACCCACCCATCCTTCAGTTTCTGAACACCAGTGCATTTTCATCCCTGTTTCTTGTACTTGTGAAGAGATTATCGCTACAATGAAGGTGTGTCCATAGCAGCTGAAGGGAAACTCCATCCTTGTGGCATGAACTCCCCCAGCACAGGTCCTCTGTGCGTTGTTGCACATTTTTAGCTTGCTTACTGTACTAGGGATAATCACCATTTTTAGAATTGACCACAAGCATCAGTGTTCATACTCTGAAGATTCAGGGGTAAAAACAATTAATGCTGGATGAATTTCTTATCCACAGAAACAACTTGATAATACTTAATACATGGATTTTTAACTGATATTCTGCCACGACGTTCTAGTGGCAGTGGGTGCTGCAGTTTTGTTTTTGAAGAGTTGTTACTTGGTTGTCGACTTCTGACAGTGGCTTTGTGTACTCTGAAAAGTAACTTAAGCAGGAAGTATTTAATGTGTCTGCCACCTTTGTACATTTGTGAAAATTAAAGTTTGCAAGCTACAAAATGAAAACGTAATATAGAAGGACATTGAGGACATTGCAACACAATTTACAAAACAGGAGGGACTCAAGTACTTTTTTTAATTAGTAAGAAATTGTATAATAATTTTTGAATAATGTTTTGTACATCATATCTAGAACCTGCTGCTGTCCATTCATGGAATGTATCTGATACAGTGGTTTCTCTGCCTGCAGGCCAGGGACCTGTGTGCTGACCTCATGGTTTAACCAGGAGTAAAGATGAGCATAAGCAGTGATGAGGTCAATTTCTTGGTGTACAGATACCTACAGGAGTCAGGTAGGCCCACCACGACTGGGTTTCATTTTCTAGAGAAACTGAAAATCTGCGCAGGGAAATGATGGACTTTATTAGGTTCCATGTTTGCTAACACTGACGGTTATTTCAGATTGCGCAGGACTTTTTATCAGACTTTATATGCATGCCATTTCTTTCAATTAGAATTTCTAACCATAATGAACTGGCTACAATATTGAAGGTGACTTGTGAGCTGTCCCTTGTCTTTTACTGTCTGATGAAGCAGTTCATTGTCTGCTGATGTTGACATCCGCACCCAGGAAGCAGAAAACCCTTTTTGGTTCTGTACTGTTGGCTGGGGGCTACGAAAAGATAAGATATCAACACAAAAATAGTTCAATTCCATCGCAGATTTCGTCATGACCTTTTGTTCTATCATGAGGGACGCAGATTTTCATTTTCGTTTTAACCAAATACTTGTGTGCAACCAAAGCTACATTCGAGCAGAAATAAAGATGGCTAAGAGCTCTCTTTGTCTGTGAACAGGTAACTGTGATTCCACACTAATTATGTTCTGGTGCCTCTGGCAGGGTTTTCCCATTCAGCATTCACCTTTGGCATAGAGAGCCACATCAGCCAGTCCAACATTAACGGCGCCCTGGTGCCCCCTGCTGCTCTTATTTCGATCATTCAGAAAGGCCTGCAGTATGTGGAAGCAGAAGTCAGCATCAACGAGGTGAGGCTCCTGTCCTCCAGCCGGGTCAGCTTGATCTCGGCTCGCGTGTTCGTGTCCTGCCATGCAGATCGGAAAACGCACAGACACAGGGTCTAGGCCGAGGGACATTTTTATCATCTTCATCTGGAAAGACGAGGTGGAATTTGCTCGTGCTCACGTTCCTTTTGTTCTGCTTGACCTCAGAAGTATTTAAAAGTCTTAAAAGCAGGGAGATCAGGTTGAGGTGTCCCTCCAGCGCTGCAGCCGAGTGGCTTCTGGGAACTCCTGCGGAAGGGGGAGGGCTGACGGCCTGCGGTTTGTTCCCCAGGACGGCACTCTCTTCGATGGCCGGCCGATCGAGTCGCTGTCTCTGATAGACGCCGTCATGCCCGACGTGGTGCAGACCCGGCAGCAGGCTTACAGGGACAAGCTTGCCCAGCAGCAGGCTGCCGCCGCCGCCGCCGCCGCGGCCGCCGCCTCGGCGACAGCCAACCAGCAGGGGGTGGCGAAGAATGGCGAAAACACCGCCAACGGGGAAGAGAACGGAGCCCACGCCTTGCCCAGTGAGTACGCCAGCTGTGTGGAGCTCTGAAGGGCCAGCACGCCAAGGCCCATCTTCAGCTGGTTGGCTTGGCCTGTTGGCACACCAGTAGCCACATGGGATTCTTACAAGCATTTCAAACATGGCAACAGGTGCTTGCTGTATGTTGCAGCTGAAGTAGTTCTGCGGCTTCATAAGGCTTCACACAATGCCATCCCGATTTCCTCAGGGAGCTCACTGTTCTTACTGCGGTTTTCCAGACAACCATGCCGATATGATGGAGGTGGATGGTGATGTGGAAATTCCCCAGAACAAGGCCATGGTTTTGCGAGGCCATGAGTCAGAGGTTTTCATCTGTGCCTGGAACCCAGTCAGCGACCTCCTGGCTTCTGGGTAGGTTTTCCAGGCTGAACGTACTTGAGCCCGCAGTGATTCTGGCATTCTTTGATTTTTCTCTCCCAGGTTTGCAACTACAGTCCTGAAAAAAAAAAAGTGTGTAGCATCTGTAATCGGCTTCAAGTGAGACCGCGCTAGTGTGCTAATATCTGGTGCAACACTGCCACCATCAGGGTGAGCTTCAGTATTGCAGTTACAGCACCATGACAAAATAATCTTTTTGGATATGAAAACAACTCGGAATAAAGTGATCATGGGGGGGTGGGGGGGATCACTTAGCCAAGCTCCATCTCGGATGGGGGCGCATCGTGGCTTTGGTCCAGCCAGCTGCGTGCTGCAGGCCCGCTGACGTGTGTCGACGCGCGCGCGTCCCCAGGTCCGGCGACTCGACGGCGCGCATCTGGAACCTGAGCGAGAACAGCACCGGCAGCTCCACCCAGCTCGTCCTGCGCCACTGCATACGCGAGGGGGGGCAGGACGTGCCCAGCAACAAGGACGTCACGTCGCTAGACTGGAATGTGAGTGCCGTGCCAGCGCGCAGCCCTTTCCCATCACTGGTGCCGTTTCGGTTAAGGTATTAATATGTGAAGCCAGTTCTCTCGTGAATCAGCGTACAGGGGTGTGGCTTGATAAATGTCGTACCCATTTAGGTCTCTGGTGCTTTCAACTTAAGTGCTGAGGGAACTGTCGTTTAGACTCCAGAATCCCAGATTAATCTGGGAGATTCCTGTGCTGAGATGCTCCGTGTGCACGTAGCATGCCGAAGTGCGTTTCTCATTGTCCTTTTTTTGTCTGTTGGAGTGCCACCTCACTGACCTATCTTCTTCTGACCACAGAGTGAAGGTACACTGCTAGCAACGGGCTCTTATGATGGATTTGCCAGAATATGGACAAAAGATGGTGTGTTCCCCCTTACATTTTGTAAAGTAATACGAAACAAATGTTTTCTGCACGAACACCATCTGAAATTATTTTGAATTTCCAGGTAATCTTGCCAGTACCCTGGGTCAGCACAAAGGTCCTATTTTTGCTTTAAAATGGAATAAAAAAGGAAACTTCATCCTAAGTGCCGGCGTTGATAAGGTAAGATAATTTATTATATTTATTTTTACTGACAGAATTTAAAATACTTCTACACTAAAATGCACAGAAGCGATCGTCTGCAACACTGCCAACACTTAGTCTGTCGTGGCCCTTGGTCCTCGAAACACACGTGGTTTCTGCTGGGGACTGGGCACTTGCTACATTCTGTGTGCTTTGGGTGTTACGCAGCTCATGTCCCTATTGTGTGGGCATGTTTTCCAGTATGTTTATACTGGTACTTTCCCCAGAGCAGAGGTCTGACTCCTACTGGTCAGGGGCGGCACTACGCGGACGAGGGATGTTGAGAAAGATTCGATCAGCTGCACTTCTTGCTTTTTCTCCCCCCACAGACTACAATCATCTGGGATGCGCACACAGGAGAGGCAAAACAGCAGTTTCCCTTTCATTCAGGTGAGCTGCAGGACTCCTGGCTGCGAAGTGTAAAACCGCACGTCAGTGTAATTGTGCATTTTTAAAGGGGTCTATATAAATATTTCTATGTGTATATGCTGTAAATGCATGAAATAAATGATATTATTTTGCTTGCCTGTTAAATGCGGGATGTTATAAAGTTTCAGTCGGAGTCCCCACAGTAACAGTTCCGTCCTCCATGCTGGATAACCTGAAGACTTACTGCTTGTTTGCCTTACAGCTCCTGCACTAGATGTGGACTGGCAGAGCAACAACACCTTTGCGTCATGCAGTACAGACATGTGCATCCATGTCTGCAAGCTTGGACAAGACAGACCCATCAAGACATTCCAAGGGCACACAGTGAGCATCCTGTCATTTCCTTTTGTGTGCTCTGCAGTGGGAACTGTCAAGGACAGGCTTCAGTGTTCATTTCTTTCATTTCCAGAATGAAGTAAATGCAATCAAGTGGGATCCTACTGGCAATTTACTGGCATCCTGTTCTGATGACATGACTTTGAAGGTAAACTGAAGGAGTTTTCCTCCTATCGCTTTTGTTTAGAAGTTGGTCATGCCTCATGCGTGTTATGTTGAACATGATGGAGATCTTGCTTTTTCTATTTTCTTTTAAGATATGGAGTATGAAGCAGGATACTTGTGTCCATGATTTGCAAGCGCACAACAAAGAAATATACACTATCAAATGGAGCCCGACTGGACCTGGAACCAACAACCCAAACGCCAGCCTTATGTTAGCCAGGTCTGTGTGACTGAGCTTGTCTGCTTCATGCTGGACTGTTCTTTTTTCCCCAGACGGGGCTCATGTAACACTGCCTGCCTGCAGAGTGTCGAAGGGCAGATGGTTGACAGAGCCTGTGTGTCCTGTTAGTGGAAGACTCCTTGTTTCTCAGCGTAACGTTTGCTTGTGTGTGTTTTTTTTCCCCCCACAGTGCATCGTTTGACTCTACTGTTCGGTTATGGGATGTAGACAGAGGCATCTGCATCCACACGCTGACCAAACACCAGGAGCCTGTGTACAGTGTAGCCTTCAGCCCAGACGGCAGGTACCTGGCCAGCGGCTCCTTCGACAAATGTGTCCACATCTGGAACACACAGGTAGGCTCCTGCTCTGCCGCCGCGTAGACTCTCTCTGGAAAACCTGTGCCAGTTGTGTTATTCGCAGCATTTTAATACATCCTTTATATTTATCATTACGAAAGATCCGCGCTGTGGCAGAGGTGTTTAATTTTTAGAGGTGCTCAAAGTGTTGATACTTCGCGGGCCTCTGTGGTGCCAGGTGTTTCTGAAGTTGCACATTCTGGTTGAGCACCGTGGCGCACCGTGTGAAGAGCTATTTCAGTCTGCCGCACCAGGTGCCGGGATTCCAGTAATTTTCTGTTGTACCTGTTTTCCAGACGGGTGCTTTAGTCCATAGCTACAGGGGGACGGGTGGCATCTTTGAAGTTTGCTGGAATGCAGCAGGAGACAAAGTGGGAGCAAGCGCATCAGACGGATCTGTAAGTTGTCAACATTTACAGAGGGTCACCTGCTGCCTGTCTGTTAGCACAGGTGCTGGCAGAGTGCCCTGCTTTTCACTCACGTCGGTAGCATGGTACTCAGTGTAGGAAGTGTGATATGGAATGATTGTGGATCCAGACAGACACTGTTGCTAGCTTGCGAATCTAGGCACAGTCATATTTCTTTAGAAATAAAATTGGTTTTTATTTATTAAAATGAAGGCACACGAGGAGCGTGACCTCACACATGCAATACTTGTTGTTTTCGCAGGTTTGTGTGTTAGATTTGCGGAAATAACGCTGCTAAGTTGGAAGCCATGGACCGACTATGAATGTGTACATAGCCAAAATGACTGTCCCTGCCCCCTGTACTGCTACAGTCCCACCTGAACCATGGCCAGCCACTACAGCCCAGCAACCACGGCCCGGAGCGGAGCGCCCTCGGGATCGGCTCTCCGGGAGCTGGAAGGGTTTCCTCACACACGGAATTACAAGGAAAGGGACGTTTCCAATTGAAGACCGTCAAAGTACCAAAATCTGAAAGATCTTTTTATTTTCCTTCTCAGACCAGTCAGCGAGATTTAAAAAAAAATCTCCTGGGTAGAGCAGTTTGTGTGTGCAGACATATCGGCTTCCCTTAATCCAGCGGCCCTTGAACTCTTTTTTTTTTTTTCCCTTTAGAAACGTTTAACAGTTTGTTTTTAGGTTACAGCTGCATGAAGTAGAGGAATGATTTGGATTCCTCTGTTTCTTTTCTCCTTGGACAGAAGACGTTAAATGAAAAAACAGAAATGTCTTTGGTACTTTGTTTTATGGTTCTTAACATTGCGGGGGACTCCAAGGTTTTAAAATGATCAGTTTCACTTTTACTTATTCTTCAACGGTAGTTTTGATGCTATGGTTTTACTGGTGACATCTAAATGCAGTAGTTTTTTTTTAAAGGGGACATTTATTCAGCCAGATTTAAAGGATTACAAAAATAAAATGGGCACAAAAAATTAGAGAAGATGCAATCTGCATCATTTTGCTTTAAAACCATAATTATGGTTGGATTGTGCACTATTGATAGAGCGACATTATTAAAAAAAATGTTCATCGATCTTTCTGGACAAAGGTTGACTGCTGTAGCTGTTACTAGAATGCACCATTCATTAGTAAACTGCAGATGACTAGTCAGTGAGTAACTAGACTCCAGTATTAATGACTGATAATATTGGTAACTTTTAAAGAGATGTCCACAAGAATAGGTGACTTCCACAGTTTGTGGTCCCTCTCAGTACATCGTGAAGAAAAGGGAAGACTTGCTCTAAGTTTCTTTTTTTATGACCGACAGTATTTTATGCAGTTTGGACTGGTGTTGGGGTCTTGCATTTTTGTATACTCTAGCTTTTATTTTCAGTAAATTTTCATGATCCAAACGTTTTGCTTAATTATGATAAATAACTTGTAGCATTCTTTTCTTGTGCTTAAAATGTTTTGTCTTTTGTTTTAACAAACTTATTTTAACTTAGCCAGCACTGTACCTTCTTGATTAGCTCTAAAACATTATGCTCAGTAAGAACTGGAATCCAATTTTATTTTAATCAGACCCTGCATCTTTAGTGTTGTGGAAACAAAGCTTTACTCAGTAATGTTGACTTTTTTGAAGAATAAAAAATGACACTTAAAGCAAGTCTGGGTGTTGGGCAGGGAAAATGTGTGTAATTGGTAATTGTGACATGGAACAACAATGTAATTATATATGTCCGAGTTATCACAGGATATGCTTTTATATACTACTCATATGTAAGGGTAGTTTTTAAATTAAACTCTGTATTGTTACCTTTTAATGAACACACTTTACTGTGTGCTATATGCATTATGTGGACATGAAGTCTTTACCATGCGATTGCAAGCTTATCTGAGGATCGCCTTTATAAAATACCATTAGACAGTCATAGCAAAACAACACCCTTTTATTGAATGTGAACAAAGTCCTAAAAATCCTGGTTTATCTTTTATGATTCCCCCCCCCCCTTCTTACTATAGAGCCACCCATAGTGAATTAATACTGCTTGAATTAAATGTCCCAGTGTTGGGTTTAGCCTTGGTGTTTTAATTATATTTGCCTGAAGAAAAAGCACTTCAATTGTCTGTCAGGCTGAGTCACCATACTCATTTATGGCCCCTGTATTTTCTGTTGAAATAATTATGTATACTTTCAAGTCTGAGGTCTTACTAGATAGGTTTTTCCTTTAAGATGTGGGACGGAATGCACTTCTTCTACATAGCAGCATTCCATGTTACTGTAATGAGCACACAACTACTGCGACATTTGTTTTTGTATGCCTTATGATGTGTTCTGTTAGAATATCATTTAATTTTACAGTCTTTTAAATTTTATACAAATAGTATTTTGAAATGTGCTTTAATTTTGTCTACTTCAACGTGGATAGTATCATCTGGACACTTCTGTTTGCAGTCTATGGCAGTGGAATGGTATTTTATAATTTTGTTTTTTAAATGAACATGCTTTCTACACTGGAGTTCAGTGTCTGCCTCCCCTGTTCTCTCCCCTACGTTTATGAGGTGTGCAACCAGGCCCAGGACAGTTTTGTACTCTGAAAACTTTTATAATTATGATTTCTTTGTAGCTGTTGAAGCAAAAGAGAAAATATTAGGTGTACCGTACTATCTTGAATCATGTAAATATCACACAAGATTAAAGATTTTGGGTTCCACGTTGCATAATAGTTGCCCACGCCCACCCTTTGTTTTCTCTTAAAAGAAATCACTTTTTGTTGCAGATTCCCTTTGCATTGTATTGATCTGACAGTTGTAATTTGATTCAGATCTGAAAAGAAGTCCAGAATAAAATATATTTTGATATTATCTCAGTGGTTTCTTTTTTAACATCAGCGTGGCATCACTGAAGCTCCTTCCAGTCTCCTTTCATGTTGTGCTCCAGGGATGTTGCTGCACTTCGTGGCCGGACTGGTGCCTGGCAGCTGTGGGACAGGAGGACTGACAGTGGAGGAAAGGGCTCCTGTTCCAGCTGTCTCCGCTCAGGGGCCGCTTGGCTGCGCGGTGTTGCAGTGCAGCAGATAATTCAGTGTATCTGCTTCACAAAGGCCAGCATGTGGGGCAGCTGAGGTGTTGGCACAGCACTGTGGAACAGTGAGCAAGTGCAATGTCCAGCACTGTGTTCTACATCCATCTAGCGCAAATCCAGTGAGTGGTTGGTAAACAGAAGTGCACATGCATATATTCACCAAGGGCCACAACGCTGTTTACTAAAGTTGCTAGAACATGCATAGCAAATATTCTGTGCATTAAAAAATTACAAGTACAATAGAGCAGAGTAGATCTTCGTATAAAACCACCGGTGGAATCTTGTTCATCACATGGCTTGCTTTCTGAAGTGTAGTGTAAAGCCATTATTGTAATAACTTGCCTTTATGCGCTGAAATGGGCTTTGTTAAAATGTGCAGCAGAGCTGTACAGCACTTCAAGGATGATTTAAACAGGGATGGAAGTGTCAGATAATGAGGGCTGTTCTCAGATGTGACTCTTGTACACGGATGCTTTTAAAAAGGCTTAGCCCAGGAAAATACATCACCTTTTATTGCACAAGATCCGCAGTAACAGTCCAGTATTTCCAGCTGCCGATGGAGACTGCGTGACCTCATGCGCCCCATGGAGATGTTGGGCAGGCAGGACCGCGTCTGTCCGGTCAGAAGAGGCAGGGTGTGGATGACACTGTACCCCACTGCCAAGAGAAAGCCAACAGGCCAGAGCCAACGCAGACAGAGTGACCGATCGGCACAAGGCGCCGCCACGGGCAGGTATCTGCATCAAGAGCAGGAAGCAGGGATTTTCGTCTCCAGGCAGAACTGAAAAACAACCCTGTCAAAACCTTTTTTTATTTCGTGCACTTCAGATGGCTGGAGCGGGAGGGAGACCTGAAAGCGCGCACGCAGACTGAGAGAGACTTCTGTCCTGAAGGATAATGAACTGGAAATGATATATTTCCTCCTCTCAGCCACAGGTCGCTGGCTGGGTCAGCCCTTTAATGTCAAGAACTGCTTAGCCTTTTCACGGTCCTGGTCCTTTCCAGCTGCCCTTGGTGGTTAGTTTAAGGGTAAGGCCTGCAAGTAACCGTTGGGCATGGAGTGGCAGTGGAAACCGTCTCCAGACAACCCCCTGCTCAGTGCAGATCAACAGGAGTGACAATGCCCAGGATGTTTCCATTTAGTACTGGGGGCAAAAAGTCACAAGCTTCCACTTTTATCCATTGCAATAAGATATGTTTTATTACCGTTTCTAAATCATTTAACCATCCCACTAAATACATTTGACATACAGCTGAAATAAAACACTTGCATACCTAGAACATGAATAACACATACTGAATAACATACTGAGTGTGCACCACGCCGACCATGAGCTCCAATAAGTCCCATTGCACCTTAAACAGATGATAATACACTACTATAGGAGCCCACCCTGAAAATGGGTTAGAAGTTTCACAATAAGACCGAGGTACTAAACCACCAACCTGCTGACCACATAAAACCAGATTGGATTGGTCTTTTCAGTAAGATGATGATGATGATGATGATGTTTAAAGCAGGTCAGTCAGGGAATCGCATGCTGTTAGTAAAAACAAACTACAGTATCGACTCGTTTTATGCAAAAATATTTGTACGCGAATATTTCACAATGCAACTTGATTCCCGAGTGCGGAGTTCAAAGTACGTACCTAAACAATGCTCCTTACAGCAAAACAACTAATAAAGAGGAACTAACCTTGGAGTCTAACGAGAAAGAAGCCGCTTTGGCCAGCGGCACCGGAGAAACCAAGGAGCTCATCTCCTGCAACGGCTCTGCTTCCGTTTGCGCTTGTGTTCAAGGCGCCTTTCACGCAGAATAATAGTTCTCCTACAAATGCAGGGACTGTCTGTTCCTCACGCCAGCAGTGAACATGTTAAACTGGGTGAGCCCAGTGTTTTCTAGCTTTTCATTACTTACAGATCCCTGTATTGAACAATTAATTACATTACTTACACCTTTTATTCTTTTAAGCATTTGTTTGAGATGCTCACAACCACATAAATATTCTCTTATCTTACAGATCATCTATAATATTATACATCTATCTTTATGCATACCTTTATATATCTATATCTTTTTTACTATTCTAACTTAAATGTACTCTAGTTAACATTTAGAGTTTGTAAGTACAATATGAAACAAACTTTTAAGAAGCTTTATAGGATGACAAATGCCTCATTAAGCAAATAATTGGTTCAATGAAGAGTTTTAATTAAGTAAATGAGGGCTCAGCTGGAGTGAAAGGCAGTCAACAGGTTACTAGAGTGCGTTCTACTTAAGAAAAAGTAAAGGTTTACTGCATGCTGAAAGGAGAAGAAAAAGACCATGTTTCAGCTGTGGAGCCTTCTTCGGGTGTGAGTGTCAACGAGCCAAAGAAGGCTCCACAGCTGAAACATTGTCTTTCTTTCCAGCAGGAATAAACCTTTACTTGTTCCTTTGCAGCCTATGCATGCTGACGCAGCTCCCTACTCGAGCTACTTCAGTCCTATTTATTCATACAACATGACTGAAAGTCATGGAAGTCTTCAGGTTTTGGTGCACCAAAATACACCTGGGTTTTCATGCAAAATCCTCTTGTAGTTACAGCTCAATATACGCATATGCCTAATTTGGAGGTTCCTTCGTGTATACAGTACATCTTAAAAGAGACGTTTCAGGGATATGGTGATGTAAGAGGAAACTTACATCTGGAAAATAAAATTGATGATGAATATTAACTAGAAAGGGAGAAACTCTTGTCCATGCCCTGTGAATGGACAAATGACCTCATCTGTAAACTTCCTTAATATTGATTCTCATTATTCATAGCAACTGCTGTGACCCCATAACCCTGAAAGAAGCTCCTTGTCAGATACTTGTATAGGCCACTTTCACTGGTCAAAGTTAGCTATGCTCTGCTGATGAGCGCCAGTGGTTTACTGCATGTAAAAGGTGCAATTAGAATTCTGCTCAGACAATCCTGCCTCCCAGCATTGTGAAACTCAATGGGATCAGACATCTAACCTACGTGGAGTCCAGCCTCCAGAATGAATGATGACAAAAGGCCAGAGCTAATTATATTCATTCAATTAACATATAATGGGCAGAGCCCATTAGTATTCTTTCTCTTAACACATATACATTTTAGAGCTGTTGTTCGTAACCTTTTCTGTGAGTGCGACCCCCTCACTCAACGAGATAGCTTCACTTGCCTAGAGGCAGAGAGGACGACTATGCTGGGGATTTGTTGGGCTGAGTCAAAGACACAGCTCACCTCCGACCCTGAAAGGATCTCTGTATTTGTTCTTCATGCGCTTTGGCGCTGGATAGCCTGACTCACAAAGAGAGGCTGAAGCGAACAGGAGGCTTTGTTTTCAAGGTCTTGTTACTCAGGCCTTGGCTTTCCCCTCGCACTGAGATCCAAACAAGCAGCCAGACTCCGCGAACATCTGCTTCAGAGCCAAATCCCCTGTGAGACCAGCCAATGATTCTTCACATTCAGGCGGTAATCCTGTACTAGCTCTCTCCGAACACGGATTTCTGATTCATCCGTCTGTGGTGGAGACCACCATGTTTTCAGGAAAATGCTCGCAAAACTGTCTCTTCAGTGCATCCAAATGTGCCCCGCTAGCGGTCTTTAAATCAGTTTTTGGCACACATTCTCACGCGTATTTCCCAGGCGTGTTTGCTGTAATGCATGTTGTCTGACCCACCACTGAATTTTGTCGGAAAGATTGAAGAGTGTGAAGAGATTGAAGAGTTTTTCCCCATGAAAGTGCTGCATTCAGGTTATTTGCAAACCGAAAATGTCTGCTGAGTAGGTTAAAAGGGCAAACCATTTTGCATCTGAATAGTTATTAGCTATGCGCTGTCAGTGCCGATACCCACACATTTCTGTCAATCAATAAACTGGTTTCGTACAAACGAGTCTAGCACAAGCAGACGCTTTTCAGCGGTAGCGCATCTGGGAACAGGAGAGCAAAACTGGTTCGAAAAACGAAAACTGTGGTGCTGTTTTTCACAATTACTCTTCATTGCACTTATCTCAAAATGTATTGTAGTGTTACACTGATTCATTTATTTAAAGACACAATTCACATGACCCCCTCAGATCACGACGCGACCCCTCTGGGATCCACGGTCCAAGATTAACAACCGCTGTTTTGGAGCAGGCTGAATTTAGCACATTGTTTTTTTTGCACCCTTCAATTAAATATGCTGAGAAACAAAAGGATGCTTCTGTGTTACACACGAGGTTTAAATGGACAGAATGTTACAGAGAAAGGACAGCTGAGCCCTGCCTTCGCAGCTGCAGAAGGAGTTTCCCCAAGTGGTCTACAACCTCCAACACGAGAGCTTGAGCCAATCTGCCAACGGGCAACTGACGCACCGAACACACTGCAGAGCTGCTAGGAACCTACCCAGAATTACCGTACCTGGGGCTCTCCACTACATAGGGAGCTCTTGGCTTAGGGTTTTTAGCAATCATTAAATTTCAGTTTTGTAATCATGGATGACAGAATGTTTTGCCACTGACACAGCTTGTGATCCAGCAAGAAAACTCTCCCAGTCTCAGCCAACCTCAAATCGAGACGGAAAAGATGAAACACTTTTAAAGAGGCAGGAAAAAAACGCTCCCAGCAATTTACAGTTTTAATGTTGGAGATTAAAAAGAAAAGAGGTAACAGGTTCTCACCTTTTTTTGTGTAACACCTCACGCACTGTGCATTGTGTTCACCAAAACATCAGCTACAACAGAAGAGTAAAAGGGAAAAACAAATTATGTACAGCAAAGCAAA